TTAAAAAAAAAAAACTCTAAATTTAATGGTGTTATGAATTTGTTAATTCTAAACTTGATTTGATAGTTTTATAACATTTAAGTCTCAAATTGAGAAAAAAAAATCTTTCAGGCCGCATTGATAGTTTACCCATCTTTCAGGTCTTTAATTTGATAGTTTTATAACATTTAAGTCCCGAATTGAGAAACAAAAAATCTTTCACACCCCGCATTGATAGTTTACCCATATTTCTGGTCTTGTATTGATAAAACTCATTTTTTAAAAGTTTAGTAGATATATAATAATAATGTAAAATAATTATAAAGAGATTTTCTTAAAATTTAAGTTGTTTGCATTTTGTATTTGTATTATGATTTAGGCAACATATATAAATGAGTTACATGATTTTTCACAAAAGTCAACATTGATTCTGATACACATTGAATTTTAGATGTTCTTGAAATTATAATTATAAGTTTAAAACTAACTACTAAATTGTGTTTGTCATTTATTTTTTAACTAATAAAATATTTATCTTTATCATAAAGAAGTCCACGAATGCTCACGTTTAATAGAGTATTCATACAGTTGTAATACTTAGTTGTACATTTAGCTTTATTAGTTGTATTCTTTCTTTATATGTAAAAGTGTTATTTAGTAAGTAGCAACTTTATTGTAACAATACTCATATAAATAGGGATCAAACCCTAAACTGAGATCCATCGGTTCATTTTCTCCCTTTCCATCTGAATATCAAAAGCTTTCCTTTTCTTCCTCTAGATTGTGTGTTCCTTGTGTTCTAATATGGTATCAGAGCCACTCCCAGGACCTATGTTCAACAAATTTACTCTCCAAGTTGAGCTTGCTTAACATCCATGCTCCACTTGCGGGGGGTAATAGAGTATTCATACAGTTGTAATACTTAGTTGTACATTTAGCTTTATTAGTTGTATTCTTTCTTTATATGTAAAAGTGTTATTTAGTAAGTAGCAACTTTATTGTAACAATACTCATATAAATAGGGATCAAACCCTAAACTGAGATCCATCGGTTCATTTTCTCCCTTTCCATCTGAATATCAAAAGCTTTCCTTTTCTTCCTCTAGATTGTGTGTTCCTTGTGTTCTAATAATGTTGAAAGAATATTCAATGCAAAAAAAAAAAATATCGGTATTTGAAAAAGATATATTCAATGAGATTTAAATTTATGTAATGGTGAGTGATATAATATATAAGAATAAGCAGAGAATAAATATCATTTTTTTTGCACTTTGTAAATGTTATGTGCCCCCTTAGTCCTGTGAGTCTGCGTCTGCCCTGACTATTTATATATACATTAAAAATAAAAATTCATCATAACTCTTTGATGAATCACTGGACAAGTGGTAGGCTCCTATAGAGTTTGCTACATGTGAGGTGTCACACGGTGATACATATTTTGTATGTTTTCTTGTGCTTATTTTTTTGTGGTTTTAATGTGGTGAGTCGAATCGATTTTGGTTCTTATTTGTGTTCCCCCATACATTTGTGTTTGTTTTTAGTAATTTTTAGTTTTTGAATCTTGTTGTGTATATATTAACTATTTTTCTTGTGCATTTTGGTGTTTTTGTGGGTCCGGTAAGATGAATGGCTCGATTTGGCGTTGTCCAATCATGACCTTCCATTTTTAGTCCATGAAGTGTGGCGGTTATTAATTTTGTCGTTCACGACAAGAAATGATTTGTTAGTCTTGAGCCTAGATTTCAAGTTGATCGGGTGTGTGTGCGATGAGTCCGAGCGAGTCGGACGACAAGGAGCAAACCATGAGCGTATTGATCAGAAAATTTGCGAGCCACGCGAATTTTGTTTCGCGGGCTGCTAAAAACTCGCGGGAGAACCTCCAGACAAAATACCTGAGTTTTGCACCTTTGTAGTAACGCCGAAATCCAGCGCAGCATTGGAGTAAATTTGGACACTGCTCCAGCGATAAATCGAATTGTGGCGATGCACTGGTCTAATGATCTATTTGCTGTACATTCCGAAAGTCATGCCATTTGTTGCACATTCAGAAAGTCATCAGTCATGCCATACCTACCTCAGTCTATATATGATGTTTTCATGGCAAATTTGAAAGTTTATAATTTAGAAAGTATCCTTGTCTAAGTCTTCATGCCTTTTGAATGTTTATAATCTTGAAATTATCTTGGTCTAAGTCTTCATGCCTTTCAAAATTAAATAATTAATTTTAAATAAAATTCATTTAATGAGATAGAAAGATAATATTGATTTTAGAATAAATAACTTTAAAAAAAAAAGTTTAGCAATAGATACTAGGTACCAATAATCCAATTTTTTTTTTTCTTTTTTTAACAAAATTGAAAATTTCAGATGCTGGCGAACGCGTCAAAAGACGTTTCGTTCGACATCTGAGAAAAAAAAAAAATAATAACCAAGTTTGTTCTAGAGAAAAAAAGAGAGGAATAAACCAATGAGGGCCAACGACATTAATGGTAGCGGTCCTTATTTCACATGTCGTGGCCTTTCAATCTGAATTCGACGTACCTCCGCCACCCAATAGTGGCTACTGGGAACCACCTTCTCCCGATTACTATTATGACCCGCCTCCGCCTCCACCACAGGGCAATATAGTCGATCAAATGATAAGTGCGTGCAACGAATACCTAAATGCAACCGATCCAAAGTATCCCGGGGGCGACTGCTGCCATGCTGCCCGCGTAGTGGCGCACAACGGTTTCGACAAAACCATTATGTGCGACACTTTGTGGCGTTTCGATCCTCCCCATAGTCTTACCGTCTTCAGAAACACCATGAATCTCCTCAATAATACATGCCCCTCCATACGCCCGGCCAAGAATCTCTTTAACTGCACAGGTAATATTAGTAAATAGCTTTCTCATTTTCTAAGAAAATGAGATATAGCAATTTTTTATTTTTTTTATTTTTATTTTTTTTTTTTTTTGTACAAATATGATCAACAGTCATTTTGTCCTATGAAATTACCGAAATAACCCCACCACACAGCATCACACACACACACACACTTTTTCATTTAAAACCATTTCCAGAGTTCCAAAAATGATTTTCAGTATTTAAAAAATGATTTATAGTGCCTTTGGAAACATTTAAATAATGCATTGAATTATATAATTAATTTTTGAAATTCTAGAAATGGTTTTCAGAAAGCATAGATAATGACTTGAGTTTTACAATTGATTTATGAAATTCTAGAAATTGATTTATATATTCACAAGGCAAAATAACTATTATTCATACTTACACAAAAAGTGGTTATATTTCGTTTTTGCATTTGTCACTTGGATATAAAACAAAGACATTGTTTTCTCTTTATATATATTGGTATTGCTATGGAGTCATCGGATGACTCGACTTATTGATTATGTGTCAATACATAAAGTTATGAATCACTAGTAAGACCCTTGTGTACTACATGTGGTGTTTGATAAAATGTTAAATGTAAACCAAAAATGGAAGAAAAAAAATGTTTATAGATTTTGTTGGAGTTGAAAAAAATAAATAAGGAACAATATAAAACAATTTATAATAAATAACTAAATGAATTAGCAATATTATTTTAAAATTCTGAAAAAGAATTTATATACATAAATAGTCTTATATATACAGATTTTATTTAAAGCACATAAAATAATATGGACAAGACACAAAGTTTGAAAAATGAGGTAATATGCACATCATAAAAAGACGATACTAAATAGATTTAGTTTAAATATATTCACTACAAAAAAAAAAAAAAATACTACAATTCCAACAAAAAATTCCAACGGCAAAAATTTCTGTTGGAAATTCCAATGAATATTCCAACAAACTTAATTTTATTTTGGAATAAGTGTTGGATAGTTGATGAATTCCAACGGATTTTTTCCGTTGGAATAGTTGTAGGAATTTATTTCCATAAGATTTTCCGTTGGATATTTGCTATTCCAACGGCCGTTTTTCCAACGGATTTTTATACGTAGGAATATCCGTTGGAATAATATAAAAAATTCCAACCGAATATTTTCGTTGGAATGTAAGTGTTTTTTTTTTGTACTGATTAAATATGTGCATTTATGCTAATAAAATTTTGGTATAATTTTTCTTCAATGCAGCGCCATGAAAGCTATGGATCGAGTCTCTGTTGAGGGAAATACAGATGGAAGAATATAAAATAATATATGACGAGGATATTATATAAAAAAAAAAGCACGAATTTACATGTATTCTGTTAGAATTTGGGAAAAATATATTCTATATTATTCAAAAGACATGTACACATATATATAGGAACATAATGAGGCTAAACCTAACCATACAAGATATAGATATATACAACTAATATATGCTAACCATATATACAATATATTCATATATGCACTTGCATTATTATGTTAAAATTACGAATTATAAGCTGCATTCTGCTATTTATTTATTATAATAAAAAAAGACAAATTATAATACTTGCTGTGTTACATATATATAATTAATTCATATCATACATGTTATTGATGTTATTGATCTCATCACCCCTTTTTTCAACCATTTCTTTGTTATGTATATCATTACATTTTGCCTAAGCTACAAATTTATACTTGAAAAAAAAAAAAAAGGTATTACATATGTTTGTATAAAACAAAAACAAGCTTTTCAATAAACAAAATAAATTAATTTCCTATTAAATATTGAGCCAAAACAATAATATTGAAATATTATTTATTCCCTTACAAACATTTAATACAATATCTTAATATCATTACTTGATTTAATATAAGCTATCGCTACAACTAAAGGAAAATAGCAAGTCATGTTATTTACTTATTTTAAAAACTACATACATATATTGTATTTTTGGCAGCCACACAACACTTCTTAAAAGTTGAAACTTAAAACACTGCTATTTAAATGAAGTCTGCTTGATATAGGGAGAATATATCCAAGTATTCATCCATATAACTATTAAAATAATTTGTCTACAATCTTCGTAAAATCGTTCTCAAGAGCTATATTTCATCGTACGATTCGTACCCTATCGGTCGATAATGCCAACGATTCTGATATACTCTTCACCTCCGCAATCATGGCCACAACATCATTCAGCTTGTTAACAGCCGAACCCACACCCTACACCACACGATAATACGAAACATCGATTAGCTTTTTTCAAGTGTTACAGGGACAATAT